ACAAGTTTACTCACCTTTCGTAATGTTCCATTTTCTCGTGCGTTTCGAGTTAGTACCCTCGAGGTTAGTTCGATCTTGTTATTTAACGTTAACGTTATTCTAATCATTTCGATTTTCTTTTTTTTTCTTTTTTTTTTTTTTTTTTATAGAGATCGTATATGAGATCGAATCTATTAGATCGATTAATAATTTATCTCGGAATTGTCGAATATATATTTTATATTTAATTAAATAATATATATATATATATATATATATATACATACATATATGTATATAAAATATTATATAATTTAAATAATACAGTAACATCATATTGAGTCACTAAATAAATAGTAAGTACTGTTCTTAGTATTATTTGATTAAAAAAAAAAAAAGAAAAAAGAAAAAAGAAAAAACGTACACAGTGTCGCCTCATAACTAATCAAGAGACCAGAATGCGTGTCGCTTCAGATAATAATATTCACCAGTAACGGACGTGTGATAATTTCATCGATAATTGAATTTCCGATAATTGAACGATTAAAAAATACGTACGTTGTTATCTTTTTCACCTCAATTGTTTATAAAAATAAATAATATCCGATCGACGAATTCGAAGATCGATTAATTATCCTAAATTATGTTAAGATTAAATCCTTATTGCACGTATCCACTACATATACGGTGTGCAATTGAAAATGGATTGTCTCATAATGATCGTAAAATATACAGACACGTACCACATATAACAAATTAGATTCTTATCTAATCGCTCAGTTGTAAACGAGTCATCGTACGAGATCATCGTACGATCTCGTATGATTCTCGTCTCTCGTCAAGAAAGAAAAAAGGGAAATAGAGGGATCTCGTTGACGCGGATGGAGAAGAGAATTATTTATTTATTTGAAAAAAAAAAAAAAATAAATAAATAAAACAAAAAATAAAATAAAATTAATAAATGAATAAAAAAGAAAAAAAGATAATGTACGCACGCGTGCACGCACACACACACACACACACATATATATATATACACACGCACAGACACACACATGCACGCACGGACATACACATGGACGTAAAAGAAACCTAGGATAAATAATAATTCGTTCTTTCGTAGGATTATTCTTTATTAATATTTTTTTACCGCTTAGACCTTTTCGACGATTTTAATCCCCCGTTTTACAAGACACTTCGCGTCGACGTTTCATATCAAGCGAAGAGAGTAAGAAAAATTTAAGGGGTTAGAGAAGAAGGAAGAGAGAGAGAGAGAGAGAGAGAGAGAGAGAGAGGAGAAACAGATGGGGAAGCGGAAGGGAAAGGAGGGAGACGTCTTTCCTGTGCCTTTCTCGACAAGATGATCGCGGCGATGAGAGTGCATAAGCTCGAAACAAAGTAACACGAGTTCCTGGACCGGTGACCAGCAACCAACCGCCCACGCGACCACGGTGGTCGTTCTAAAAATATACACACTCGGTTCCACGCGTACTGTGCTACCGGTTTTAAATCTCACCGTTACCGGACCGAAACCAATGTGGAACGTAACAACCCTTCCCCCTCCCCACCCTCCCCTCCCCTCCCGTCCATTCCCACCCTTCCATCGTCTTTGAAAATAAAAAAAAATAAAAAAACGATTTTAGTATGTGCTAGAAGGATACAAGTGTTTCATTTTACGTTTCATTTCTCTTTCTATTTCATGAAAAATTCTTTTATTATCGTTAATACATTTAATTCAATGAATTTAGAAAAATTTTAACCCTTCGAAGGTTTTTTTTTTTTTTGTTTAATGAATCATTCTTTGTAATCATTAATGAACTCATGATAATGATTATCGCGAGATAGAATCTTTTTTTTTTTTTATATTTTTTTCTCATACCAATTTTATAATTTTATTGAGATCGTATGAATTTCTTCTATTTGGTATCTGTATCGTTTGTTATAAATTTTCTTTCTTTGTTTTGTTTTGTTTTTTTTTTCCTTTTTTTTTGGGGGGGGGGGGGGAGAAATAGGAAATTTCTCGTTGTTTCATCAATTATGAAAGGATAAAAATTGGATAAATCGTAATGGATAATTTTATATGAAGAATTATTCTCAAAGTTTTATACATTTAATTTCATCGATCGAAGTCCACGTCGAAGAACTATTTCGATGGGTTACGTAATTCTTTTGAAATTTTTATTTCGATTGACTACTTTTGAGACGATAAGATAGGTATATCCTTGATCGTTTAAAGATTAAAGAAAAATAATAAGAACTTTGCGTTTTCGATTAACAAATGTAGTTTAAAAACTATTGTTGAATAATATGTTTGTGAAAGATATACGACCAACGATATGATTCAGTAGCAGACAGATATGTGTCAGGAGAAAAATATTTTCATTATCAGATATAATCAAACGTAAGATAAATATCGAAGAAGTTTCCTAGAAAAAAAAAGTAGAAATTTATTAGAAATTTAAAGATAAACTGATGCCTTCAGTTTTATCGATATCATCTTATACAAGTATAAACATCTCGA